GATTGTACAGATGAGGAGAGAATGAATTCTTATCTCTGATCTTGTCACGAACCTAAGCAAACTGTGACAGATAGGAAGTTGGTTTTTTTTTTTCTATTCATACTGTTTTAAATCCTGTGCTTTTCTGCCTGTTTACTTCAAGTGCCCTTTACTCACATGGAAGGAGTGCTCACCTTGTTAAGATATTCGATACTGCCAGCACCACAGGAAAGTAACAGGGAAGTTCTGAGTTCGTATTGCTAGATTGTATTACTAAATTTCTCAACAAAACCAAAAAAAGGTTAGCCTGTGGATTTTAATTCTGTATAGAGCCTATGTCTACTGAATTCCGTAGGCAAATATATACACATATATGCTGCTTTCATATCTTACATAAAAGAATGAAATAAGAATTATAAAAACCTTTTGAAGATAACAGGCTCCTGAAGGGTTTTGTTCAGCTTTTCTTAAAAAGCAAGAATTTCAAGCACAATGCTGAAATATTATGCCTAGCCAACATATATGTCCTTTGGATGGTAAAGAGGGTCGCACACACAACTGCTTTTCATGCCTTTGCCATCAGCTTCTTTGCTGACCTGGTCATGCCTTTCTCCCACAGCCAGAGACAGCAGAACATAGCTTAACTGACATATGACCTAAATCAGATTTACAGACAAATCAAATCCTCATTTCCAGAGAATTTGTTTCAAGGCTTACATTAAAGCAACTTGCGACCTAGGCTCAGCAGAGATCATTTTTTAAATCTTTTGATATGTCACACTTTAAAAGGTTTACCATGTCTAGAGCAAACACTGACCCCATTCAATTCTGCCAGGGAAATGGCAACACTGTGATGTATTTGAGATTTTAATTCATGTCAATACACCAAAGGTATGGTACAACAGAAAATAAAAAAGTGATGAATCACCAGTGGAAGATTTTCAATGAGAAAACACCTGTAAATTAAGGACAATATTTTCAAAACGAACAAGGCTTCAGAAGCAGAACAATGCAGAAATCTAAAATAAATGTTATAGCACTCAACCTTAAAGACAGTATTAGCTATTTTGTCTTAGGTAACGGGAAAGAGAAGGTGACAGATTAGAGCTGGGGACAGGGAAATCATGGAGGCTCTGATTAATCAGAACTGTCTACCCACATTTGCCTACACAAGCAGAATTAAAACTATCAAACACATTTTAGGGCTACATCTCGGGGGCTGCAGTGGAAATAATATGCCCTGACATTTTTAGAGTAAAAGTGATAAGGATGAGAGCAGCATTTCGTCATTAGAAGTCCTGTGGTCATTTGCAGAGGATGCCACAGCTCTACTTGAGAAGAAAGAGTTAAATTACTCAAAGCTATTACATCCTGTCTGCTGCTTGGCGGGACCACATACTGTGACAGCTGCGAGCTTTACATCCTCTACAAACTGACATTTTACACACATACTGAGTGCATCACACTGTTCAGCTTGTTTTCTCTATTAGCCTTAGCAATTAAAAAGGCAGCACTTTCTCTGCTAAGAGGTGTGCCAACCCCTCTCTTTTGCCTTTATGGTTAAACAGCAAAACTTTACCTTTTCATTTAGAAAGGTTCTCTTTTTATTACTAAGGGCATTGATACATGCTACATGTCGTCTTTTTTAAAACAGCTTTATTTTGTTGTGGCTGGGATTCTTTTGTTTGTTTCTTCTTAATTGGGATACAGCACAATAAATTTACATTCAGTTCAGACCACATCTGAACAAGTCCATAGCTCACTCAGATAATCAAATTGCTACAAATTTAAAATAAGGATCCATTATATACATTTATGTCATGTTGCCCATCAGGGCTTCTTCCACTGCCGTGGTACAAACAAAAACGACAAATGGAAAAGGTTAATCTAGATCAGAGCTGAACCTATACCAAAAAAATAAGAAAGTCTACATTAGTGAGTCATTCCACTGCTCCATAATTATCTCCGTGATAATTATACTTTGAAGTACTCACAACACAAACAAAGCCTTTACTGGCTTTCGGACATCTTGTGTCACTACTGAACTGTGTCTCCTTCCCTCTGCATCCCCTATTTTACAGTTGCTTCCTCTGCCACTGCATTGTTCCACTTTTATGGTAAATAAAGGTGAATTCTGACCGGGTTTAGCAGAGACAGCCTGGCCTTCTGGTACAACACTGGGCAAGTGCCTACACATCCCTCGGCTTCCAGTCTTTCTTTCATTCATTTGATGACTTTACCTACCTATGCCTATTAGGTCTCAGAAATCATGAGGCATGAAATATCCAGGCAGTTATTTAAAGGTCAGGAGAAGAAAACAGAGGTGGTCAGCTCTGCTTTCCCTCTAAATGAGTAACCTTTCCAAGAGTTCCCCAATGCCTAAACCTCCTTCCTTCAGCAGGTTTTTTCTTCTCTATATTCTTGCACTTTCAAGTTGGTGAGTAACACATTCATAATGTCCCCAAAAGACAGACACTTGATCTCAGACGAGCAAAATTGCCAGGAAACACCCAGCATTCAAATTTTAATTTACAGCAGAGAATAATCTGATCATACTGACAAGCTGTGTATATGTTACCAGTTTCTGAAATTGCACATACCAAATCTTACATCTGGAAGAAGAGATTCTCCACATTAGCCCTCACACAGACATGGTGTGCAGCAGTACAGCATCTCTTGACACACCAGATGGCATTGGGAGGCTGATTCCTTAATCTGTTGACCAGCTGTGTCGCCAGCATGGAATTGCTAGAATTGAAGGCAAATTACTCCACCTACCAGGGCTCTAACACTTCAAGGGGCCCTGCTATAAGATACTCTTCTGCTGTGTCCTAGTGTTTTGGTCACCACTCTGACATCACAGGATCCCCGTTATCAGATGCTGTCCTTGTCATGTAACTCCAGACAAACCTTGTGTCCACACAGAGCAAACTAAGAGGTGCGTAGGGGCCATTATGCCTAACTTTGTTGCACTGTCCTACTGAGACAGAGAACCTCTCACTGGTTCTCTAAAAGCCAAACTTGTTCAGACCAAGAATCCATTTAACTCAGAAAGCTGTCTGCAACATGGCTGTAAGTGACAGCTAAGGAAGAGTAACACATATCAGGGCAAGCATGTAGGATACCTGACCCAAATATTTTGTGCCTCTTGGCACATCTGGTTTAGTTTCCACTGAAAGGAATCCAGTTTGTGCAATGAGACTATTCTGTAATATGAGGTGAGGCACATTAAGTGGGGAAGATCAGGGGGTTCACTTCAAAAACGCACTCCTGATCTGAATTAAAATGCTGTATAAATACAGAGATAGAGAAGGTAAAGGAAAAAACATCACTTCCACCTGAACCCATCTACACTTCCTGAACTCACAGCATTCTCCAGAAAGGAGCTCCACAGATATGCTGTTTGCTGCATAAAGAATTACCTGAACCATCTCCTTTTTGTTTGCTTTGCACCTGGCCCCGACTACTGCCCTTTGACAGTCTTTAGTTCTTATATTGGAAAAGATAGCAGTCAATCCCTATTTACATGCCTCCCGTAATTTAGGAGATCTCTACCTGTTCCATTCCCTGCAACTCTTCTCTTTTTCAGGCTGAAAGGACACACTATGTAAAGTCTTCCTAATATGGAAGCTGTCTGTATCACTGATCATCCTCACTGCTCTTCTCTGAGCAATTACAGTGCTAACATAACCTTCTGAAATAAGGTGCTGTCAAACCACAGCTTATACAGTAGTATGTAGTAGTATATGCTTGCTGTTTCATCCTCTATTCCTTTCCTAACAGTTTTTAACATATGGTTAACATTAATGCTTCTTAACATTTGCCTTCTTGGTCAGCACTGATCTAATGCACTCATGGAATCACCTGTCATTATCCTAAAACCTTCCTCCTGAGTGGCAAAACCACAATTTGACCCTAAAAATGAACAAGACCTTACAGTCAAGTCTGTAATAACTGGAATAGCATTAAATGTAATATAGGAATCGTTTGTTCAGATGCACATTAGCACAAGAAAAGCTGCCATTAACACATTACACTGTTCTTCAAGAAATTTCTAGCCATTATTGTATGGTCATTTCTTGCTACACTACAAAGTCATCATCTAATAACAAAACATTTAATCCTAGTCTCCTGGAATTTTACCTTTAGTATAGCATCTGTCCCATTTTCCCTTAATCCACCCTTTTGGCATGTGTGTGCCTTGCTTATCTTTCTTAGGATTTCACACTACTTACAATATACTCCAAGTGAAAAGGTCCAGTATTGTCTTTATAGATACACAACATCTATTTCTGGCAGACAAGTAATCAAATAAAACAGAAAAAAGCTGCTAAGAGTTACACAATGGTATCTTCTTGTCCCCCATGATCTTTCTGCTTCAAGTCACAATAGAATTTTAAGTCCAGCTTTTCAAATACCTATCTGTGTATCAAATTTACTGTGGAAGATTGGTACTGACTGATCTGATCTAAACAGCGTTTCTACTGATCTGAGTGAGCACTTAGATCAGTAAAAAGCCAATCTGTGACACACGTGGTTTGTTTATAGGGACATATCCACAATATACAGTTCTTTCAGCATACAAAGGAGGTCAGATGGAAGCAAATGCAGTTATCTGTCCATTGCTACGGCAGCTAAGCCTACCTAAAGGGCCACCTTCTTTAGAACTGCGATGCTCCAGTGACTTGTGTGATCATGTTGCCCTGACAACCAACAGAGATCCTCTTTACAGCTGATCTAGCAGACATCTGTATTTTTGGGACAGATAGCCCCGAGTTTCATTGCTCACCATCACTCACATTTCCTACGCCCCGCCCCGATAAAGGATGGAGATTATCAAAATCAAGTGCATCATACAAACCTAGAGCGTGGCTAACTGGCGTTCCTGTTACGTTGCATCCCTTTACCTCAGTTGCCTGTCTGGTACTGCTGAAGCACAGATCAGTATGCGAGAGTCTGCCTCACAGTCTTGGAGTGTTTCAATTTACAAAAAAATGAAAGAAGAAAAACTGCGCACATACCTTCAGGACAGTCCACTGCTCTACGACAATTGCATCATAGCCCTGCATGGTTTTACTGTCTTCCACAGCTACATCTTCAAAGAGGAATACTCCATCCATTGTCCCATGTAAAGAATCTGTGAAAACACAGGATTATCTGTAAGCTTTATGGGAGGCACCCCATGTGTAGTGAGGCTTTTGAATTTATTAATAACAAATTCTTCCAAGGATGCTAATAAAAAAGTGCATAGGCCTTCCTCTGATAGTCCAGCGCTATTAAATGAATGAGACTAACACGTCTAGCAGCTTTTTAAGAGCAATGCTACTCTCTAATAGTAAACATCAGTGTCCGCTCTATTATTCCAGAGTTTGTCCTCAAAAAACAGAGCTCTCCCATTTTGAGCAGGCAAAATTAATTCAGTCCTCAGTTCTGCAGTACTGCTCACCTACTTCAAGTTAGACACACACTCTGGGGGCTAAAGACCATGTATTATGTCAACTTTTCAAGGGCTTTTGAAGGTACATTGATATTATGATTATACCCATTCATTCAGACAAGTCAGAACCCTACATATGGATCAGCTGTTGCAGTTACAGTGATCCACATGGACTAAGGATAATCTGGCATATCTGAACGGTGTGAAAGAAAAGATACATTCATAACTATTTAATCAATTTATGAAGGCATTTTGACCATCTGGTTTAGTGCCTCTCTATTCTCATTTGCATTCCCAGCACGTTCAGCCTTTTTTCAGACAACACATACTATTAAAGTTACTTGAGCAGCACTTTCTCCTTCAACTTAGCTGTATACTCTATAATCAGCAATCACTCCCACATGCAAGAACTCCCGTTTTGTCAGCTCCGTGACAGAACAGAATCAGAATAACTGAAAAAAAGACTTACCTTTCTTTCCTAAAATAAGCTAAATGATGAAGCAATAGAATTATATTTAGAAAAACTGTAAATAAGCGGTACTGTACTCTTTATGAACACAGAAAAATTCTCTCACATTGTCACAAAGCATGTTTTTCAGCCTTTCTAGTTCAAATAATACATTTACCCTCTATGACTGATTATAAAGACCCTGTTCACGCCCTCCCCAACTATTTTGCATGCCAGTTTCTTTACATTTTTAGGAAAACTATGTTTCTTGCACTGGTATGATATATGTTTTTGAAATGCAACCACACATGCCAAACAGACAGATTCCTGAACTGACAGGACAGTCTTCTGGATAAGTCTGCTTAGCTGTTTCATCAGGTCCTCCTGCTTTCCCTAGTGGGTATTACCAGCTCACGAAATGCCAGCGGGAAGGCATCGCTGCCTCCAAGGGAAAACGTATCAAACTCAGAACCAATTTTCACAAAGGAGGCAGTGAGGAGGATTAAGAGGCTTCTTTACATTTTACAGACACAATCTCAGTCAACATCTTCCAATGTCATTATATGATCTAAATTCAATTTATTCTCTGGAAATAATAAATTTTTTGTGGGCTTTGCCCACAACAAACCAGATTCCTACAGTTGGAGGCTTGTATCTACAAACACACTGTAACAAGACACTTGCTGCAGGTGTCAAGCATTTGCACACCCCCTTGCTTCTACTTGCACAGTCCACTACACTCTCTTGCTGCAGTTTCAACCAAGTCATTAAGTTGTAATTGAGCAGATGCAAACACCTGTACTCAAACTAAGAGAGCATTTTCTTTTTTTTTTTTGAGTTTGGGTGTTGAAAGCAAAAAGTTGTAAACCACTTACTAGAGACTCTCCTCGGGACTCCGGTGGGAGACTCCAAGAAGCAGGAAAATACACTGCCTACTTTCACACTGACTGTCTCCCCAGGCAGGTTTTCTGTAACTCCGTTTAGAATCAAGTGAGATGAAGACGCGTCACCACTACAGTAAGCCAGTATTACACATTGCTCCAAGGAGGATGAGCTGGACTACAAAGCAGTAACTCCTGTCATCTAGATAAATTTCTCATTCAAGTGAGAACAGACATTTTTGTTGTGAAATAACAGGCCAGATCACTAAGTAGCTGAGTTACAGGTTAGAAAACACAGGGAGAACAAGCTTCCCACATACAAATGGGTACAAGATTTAATTATCATATTTCATTCAGAAATGGCACTTTGTTAGACCCTACATTTCAAAGCGGGAACTAACGCAACTTCTGTGCAATATATGACATTCCAACACCCAAATCCATACCCCAATCTATTTTAGGATGCATAATGTACAAATAACATTTTAATTTTCCAAAGCAGGGGCAACAGGACAGCACTGAAGGCTAAAAGCAGAAACCCATAGATCCCTACTAGACACAGACATCCAGATCTTGCCAGGGAAGCTTCATACAGTGCCGGTGCGCTGCTCCTGTATCATGAATTCTCTTAATGAAATTCAGTGTCACCCTGTTGGCACGACTGCAGCTTGAGCTCACCCCATGCATTTGCCAGCTAATTAATAAGCGATCAAAACACAATCAGCATGCGTGTGTTTACACTCACTCGTAAATCATCCTTTATGTTTCACTCTGCTGTGCATTCCACTCATGCAGTTCACAGCTTCCACGTATGTGAACATTACGGCACATATGTAATGTTTTAGAAACTAATAGCTGAGCTCATCAGACCCTACAGGCAGCAGGCAAGCTTGACAGTGTTATGTTTACTGTTGGATTCAATGATCTTAAAAGTCTTTTCCAACCTAAATGATCCTATGATTCTATGACTTCGCTTACTTCTTGGAAGTACAATGATTATGGCTGAATGCAACATGCAGTCAATCCTAAGAGCCATTATTTTTTTGGCCAGGAGAGAAACCTACAGAAAATGAGAAAACTGGAAAGAGAAAAATGATGAGGGAGTGACAGCTGCTCTATACTGGTGTCTGTTCCATAGAGTGATTCTGGTGAAAAACTCTGTAAGAGAAACTGGTTGATGACAATCATTCAGATTTTCTCTCCTAACCATAACCAACCTCCTCTCTACCTGTCATGCCACAATGCTTAAACTTTCATGCCATGAATGCATGTCTGCCAATTCTCACACCTTGGCCATACCTCCTCCCTTTTACAGGTCATCTACTACTCTTCCAGAGAACAGGGGGAGGTAAAGGAAAGAATAATTGGATCATTAATTCCTTCACATGTGAAGCATTTGGGATGCTGAGAATAATTGGATGAAAGGAGAAAGCAGCAGAAAGAGAGCTAACAGGGTCATATTTTGGAGAAAAGCACATATAACCCATGCTACGGTATCAGGATCAGTGGGAATTTCAGGGAAACTCTTACAAAGAGGTGTGGAAAGGCAAGGAGATGGACAGATGCACTGACTCTACCTGCAATGCCTTTATCGCACAGATGCTCCAGCTTTAAGAGCAATTGAAGTCTACAGTCACATGTTCTAGAGCTGGCCCACTAGAGGAGATTCACATAAGCTAACATTAGATATTTATGATATAGAGGTCTACAGCTGCATTAGTCATCCAAGGCTCTCTTTACAACTGATGGAGAGAAATAACCATTATTTCATTCAGGACCCAGCTTCACAGAATCATAGAATAATTCAGGTGGATGGGGACCTCAGGAGGTCTCCAGTTCAATCTCCTGCTCAAAGCAGGTTCAATACAAGTGCAGACCAGATTGCTCAGGGCTTTATCTACAGTTGCATCTTGAAAGTCCCCAAGAATGGAGACTGCACGACTTCCTGGCCAGCCTCTTCCAGACCGTGTTTTCATGAAGGAGTAGTTTTTCTTTATATCCAACCACGACCTCTCTTGTTTCAACTGATGAACGTTTCTTCTCATCCTCCTACCATACACCTCAGTCAAGAGCCTGGATCCATCTTCTTGACAGTCTCCTCACAGGCACTGCCAGACACTGTTAGGTCCCCCAAAGCTGTCCCTTCTCCAGGTTGAACCAACCCAGCTCCTTCAGTCTTTCTTCACAGGACAAGTGCTCCAGCCACTGACTATCTTGTTGGCCCTCTGCTAAAGTAGCTCCAGTTTGTCAACATCTACCTTGCACCCTTTGGGAGAGGGCCCAAAACCAGACACAGTATGTGGTCTAGATGCAATCTAATGAGCACCGTGTAGAGAAGAATAATTACTGTCTTTTACCTACTGGCTATATTCTTGTTGTTACAGCCTGGTACACTCTTGCTTTCTCTACTGCCAGGGCATACTGCTGGCTCATCTTCAGCTTGCTGCCTACTAACATCCCCCAGAACCTTTTCAACAGAGCTGCTAGCCAGCCAGGCAATCCCCAGCCTGGATCGGTGAAAAGTCATCTCCCTTCCCAGAGGCAGGACCTTTGTCCTCATGGAATTTCAAAAAGCTCCTGCTGGCACATTCTTCCAGCCTGCTCAGGTCCCTCTGGACAGCAGCCCAGTTCTGAAGCACATCAAATGCACCCCTGAAAATAGGATCATCTGCAAATTTGACAAAAGCACGCCCTGTTGCCCCCTCTGCATCACTGATAAAGTTGTTAAACACAACAGGTCCCAAGATAGATCTCTGTGGTACTCCACTCGTTACTCCAGTTAAAGTGCGACCTATTAACCTTGACCCTCCAAGTCTAGGCATGCAACCAGTTTTTTACCTGTCTAGTTGTCCTCCCATCTAGGTTGTAGGGTCCTAACTTGGATACAAAAATATTGTGGGAGCCACTGTCAAACGTCCTTGATGAATTCACCCAGAATGACATCTACTGCTTTCTCTTCATCCACAAATCCAGTAATTTTATCACAGAAGACAATCAGTTTCATCAAGAATGATTTACTCTTGTTAAATCCATGCTGACTGTTCCAAATCACTTTCTTCTCCTTCATGTGTCCAGAAATGTGTTCCAAGAGGACTTACTCAATGATTTACCCAGGAATGAAGTGAAGTTGACCACCCTGTAGGTCCCTGGATTGGCCTTTTGGCCTTTTTTTTTAAAAGATGGGTGCAACCTTTGCCTTTGTCAAGTGTTGGAAACCTCCCCTGATCTCTATGACCTTTCAAAGATGACTAAGAGTGGCCTTGTTACAACACCAGCCAGCTCTCCCAGCACCCTTAGATGTAGGTCTCAGGAACTCAAGCAATTCCTGTCTTGATCTTCACCCACTGCTGTGAGGCCTGCACCTCCCTGAACCTTGCCTCTAAGCTCAGAGGCCCGGAAGACTGTGTCAGCGAAGACTAAGACAAAGGAGGCACTGAGTACCTCAGTCTTATCTAGGTCTGCTGCCACTAAATCACTCACTCCAATCTATCTGATCTCTTTCACATATCTGATGTAGGATGAAGTGGATTACACTGCACATCCTATGGACTATATTGGTCCAGGCCTAGACCTCCATTGATTATAATGGCACTTTTGGGGGACAACTCACATGCAGATAGCTGCAGGGCAGATGCCCACATTTATTCAGCTGAATCTTACCTAACCTATCTACAAAGATGAGCCATCTAAAGCTTTAGATGGTGGTCTTTCCAGTTTCCACTGTTTCTCATGCAAGGTATTCCCCAATTCTGATGCAGTTGTATTCTCTTCTGGTAATCTCTTGTTTAACAAGATTTAGTTCTTGGAACTTAGCCTACAGTAAAAAGATCTTTAGTAATTCCAAACATGAGTTCATTTGCAATAGGGCAGTAAGGAATGCCAATAAAACAAACCATTTTGACTTTGCTGTTTGTGGTATCATTTCCCAGTCTCTACTCTTGAACTGACATAATTTCATTCTTTCTTAAAGAAAAGGATCTGAATGTAAAGGTTACAATCACTGTCCTTCCTCTGAAAATGTTCCATTGCCACTGCATTTTTTATTAAGGTATCCTACTGTGCACAAAAAGCTATTTTCACTGGGTTGTATAAATATTTGATGTAGCTCAGTTGACAAAAAGCTATTTTAAGTTCTTGCTTCTAATTTACAAGACGTATATGAGAAAAGATTTCTTACTTTACGATGACAGCTTTCCTAGTGGGCAACACTTTTCCCCTTGTTGTCTTTGAACTACAAATCCCCCTTATCTAGGCAACAAAACCTTTAGGCTGCTGTTGCTCTCAATGAGGAAAATTAGCTATCTGTGGCTTTATGTGGCACGTGACCTGAATGTTGGTCTTTGCTTCATATTTGTATTCCTCCTTCCTCCTGAATCTTTTCACCTTCAGTACACGCAGAGAAAATAATTCCACATGGATAACAAAAATCCCAGCCACTACAGTGGTTAAGGTGACCATAATTGGCCAAATGCATCACTGGTTCATCTTTGTCAGAGGCAGTGTGAATACAGGAGAGACAATCAATATGACCCTCTTAAAACCTGACTACTTCCCTCTTCCAAGCAACTCACATTTTGTTTAATTTGCTTTGTCTTTAAGTACTGTCAATGTTTTCTGGTTGGCTGGCTGGCTTTTTCTAAGTTTGAACGGCAGGAAATTCACAGACAGAATGGTAAAACAAAGACAAGAATGCCAGGCATTGAAAGACCTGCAGTTCAAAACAACTAAAGATGAGCAGGGTTGTGATTACCCTGTTGAGGCATCAAAATATAACCTTAGCTTTGACTCTTCCTTCTCACACTGCTGATTGAAGACTTGCTGTTATAGGAAAGAAGGAGACCCCACCTGTTACATCCTTGCCATTTGCAATGGTATTAATCTGTAACTTGCTACTACAGTCTCCACTTCTCACTAGAAGAGGGCAAGGGTGAAGTCCTATGATCACTGTAGATCACTAGGCAGGATCAATCAGTTTACACCTGTGACTACAGGCAGAATTAGCGATGACATGCATTGGGACAAAAACATCAGGAAGTAACCGAACTCCAAAATTAAATAACTCTTATTTGTCAACATAAGAATATTCAAGGACCAAGCAAGCTGCTGTGGTTTACGTGCTGTAATTTGCAATTGTGTTATATTTCTGTTTATAATTATCTGGTACAATAAGCAAAAAGAAACAATTGTTATCAGCAAACTTTAAAACTCCTTTAAAGACTAATTATTAAACTGTTGGCAGAAGGAAGAAACAGATTTATGACTACTGACAATCTGGAAATCTTCACTTCAGTGGGCATTCCAAGGACAAGGGGGAAAAGAAGAAGATAATAACCCTGCTTTTAAGTCTAACAAGCGAAATAATGAATTCATACTTTAAGCTGAAAAGAAAAGCAGCCCCCAGAACAAAGAAACGTGATATAACCAATTAAAGAAAGTATGCTAATATTACCTTAATTTGGAAGAGGATTAATCAGTGAATAAGGAGACCAGCTATGAAGAGCTGGATAGGCTGCCATAAAAGACTAGAAAAAAGTAAGGAGCTGAGAAGCCCTTAGTCCCCTTTCTTCCCTCTTCCGTACCCTGGGTTGTTTCATACTGGTTGGCATGAGTGAAAAAGTTGTTCCATTTCTCTGCAGCATAGGTAGATTTTAGGATTTAAATCATAAACATTTAACTGCAACTGATAGCAACTTACAGACGTTCTTAACAAATGTTATTCTAATAGCATGGGCATGTTCACGGCATTTTAACGTAACTGTTCTAATTAATACACTTTTAGAAACCTTAACTCTTGAGCTTTTTGACTTCTAAATCTGTTCTTCCTGTAACTGTAAAATGCCAATAAACATGTTTATCAATAGCTCATCTTCAATCTCTAATCTAACTTAACTCTGAATCTGTCCACTTTTACATAATTAGTCATTCTGTTTGCGTCCAAACTTTACTGTCATCATTCAAGCCTACTTCATCTATGCCCACAGGCAGATAACCAGCACTCCTCACTCTGGTGTCCAAGTACATGAACTTCCCCCAGGCCTCTGTTATGTAAATGAACTTTAAAAGTTTAAATAACAGAAAAAAAATCTTTGTTTAAAGCATTTGAGAGTGCACTGATAAGCAGTTTTTATTAAAGAAAACACTGAGCCTGATAGAGCCAATTAGGTTTGCCTCTATGAGTTGCAATTTATACACATAAAGTAAATGACCATTTGTTTTTAAGCAAGTTAACTAGCAATTACAAAGCTTTCCAGGAAGCTGTGTGAAACCATTCCATCAGCTGAACTTTAGACCTTCCTTTTTTGCTACTTGCTTGCAAAATGAAAAATTAGGATCGCCTGTTAATTTCCTGATTGACTTTTACCAGAACCGACTCATATTACTGTGTTTTATCATGGGTCCTGGAATTCTGACCAGCAGCAAAATGGGAAGAAGATGCTCTGGAAGCAGCTCCCCTAGAATTTTGAGGCACAAACCCACTAATCTCAGTAGTAGTGCCCAACCTAAGGGTTACCACATTCCTTTTGAAGAATGCAAAACAAACCAAAATTAGTTGAAAGATTCATCCATAAGCACTTTAACCATGAAGTATACTAGTCACATAATTTTCCAGTAAAATTACTCTGGCTATAACTTCAACATTTTTACGTTCGACTACTTCCCTTGGTTTGTTCTTATGGTCCCTTGGTTATGTCTCTCAGCTCCCCACTATGCACCAAAGTCTTTCTTTGTACAGTAGGCTTGTCTTTGAAGCCATGGTGGCCACGAGCGTAAGACAGACTGGCTACAGTATTAAGCTGGACTTAGTACCACATTTTCACAACATGCAAAAGTCTGGTTTTTAATCTTAGTTTAAGACCAACATTTATCCATCACTCATATGAACACACTAGCTAGGATGAAACAAACAAAGACGACAATTTTGTAAAACATTGTGCCATCAAGGTGGAAAGGGTCTCTGCAAGAACAAGGAGTAACAGACTACACGTTGGCCAGATGAAACTGGAGGGTCCTTACACTGACCTGCAATCAGGCCCAGATGCAGTGAGTGGCCAGACAGCCAAGAGGAAAGCCACTCTTCAATTTGTGCCATCTGCTTTACAATCTTATTAGTTTAATTCATTTTACGTGGTACTGTTTATTAACTCTGTCTATTTCTGCAATTACAGGATCATCTCTAGTATGTTTATAAAATACAATACATGATCTGGTTTCCTTATTCAAATGCCAAAATATTTCCTGTGCTTTCATTCCATTTCACTGAAATAGGCTGATCTAAAACAAATCCACCCCAAGCCTGTATTAAAGTACCTCCCAAATGTCTTCTCTTCAAAGATAATGACCTCTGTTAGAGGAGAGAGGAAAATAATCACAGCATAATGCTTTCTGTAATTTCCATACCATTTACCATTCCAAGGCTGAAGATGGCGTTTACCAACGAGCCTCCTTTCCTGAAGTGATCTGTCATGTGCTCCAGCCAATTTGCTTCTAAGCTGTTGACAGTCTGCCCATTCCTGGAGATCCTCATAGGGATAGTCACTGTATAATACTGGCTGCATCTTTGTGGGGTTTTTGGCTTGTTGAAGAGAGCGAAGATCTCTGCTTCTACCAAAAAGTAAAAAATGGAGTAATGCAACAACTGTATCAGAATATTTCAGCTAAAACAACGTATAACCCCCTGTTTGCCCTTGCCTGATTGCACTGTGCAACTGAAAAAAATGCTTTGGGATGTGGTTATCTCCTCAATACATTTCCGCAGTGTCCAACACAGTAGGGTCCCAAAACCCAATATGATATTTTGATTGCTGTTACAGTATTTCTTACTAATAATGGATTCTCTGTTAATAACAAAACATTTAAAGACAGTAATACCTGAGTACTAATGCACAACCCCCCTACTGGAGTTATCAGTGTAAACCAAAATAGGACAACATGCTCCACAAACTGCTTTAAGTACTGTAGCAGTCACAAAATCACTAAAAATTAACGCATGAAGTACCTTTATTTTTTCTACTGAATGAACTGTTAAAAGAGCTGTGACACTGAAGACAGTTCAAATACAAAATCTTACTGCAAATTTAGCAGGAACTGCATTCTGTAGATCATGGTCATTAAAGTATTAAATAACTTGGTTTTGACAATACAAGGGCATGGAACCACCAAGTAGTAGTCTCATCTAAAGAAATGCAAGGAATCATTAATGTAAAGACTATGCTAGTTAGTTCGTTGATTTACTCCAGGTCTGAGCCAAAGCGAGACATTAACACAACAGCAAACGAGTTTTGAAAGTGGAATTGTGAAGGCTCTTACAAATGAGAACATTTTCCAGACTCTCCTCCGTATCTCCTTCAGTACATCATAGGAGCAGTTAATGTAGGCTTACCATCACAAAAAAGTCATTGCTGACAGCAAAGCTGAGCTTTCACAGCCCTAGATTGGAAGCACATTTAAGTGCAGACACACCTTCCAAATTCTCAGAAGGGTACAACCATCAACAAAATTACTGATAAAAAAATCTTGGACGTTATTATTTCACTTATTAATGGACATGGAAATCAATGGTAAAATTTCTATTCACTTCCAAATGCCAAAAATTCTCCCAAAATAAACTAATATAAAAGGTAAAGACATTATATGAAATTCATTCATTCAATAAGCTCCTCTTGTTTCCAAGTTATTATATTCTAACATCAAGTATTAAAGTAAAGAAAGAGATGTCAAGAGAAATGTTAAGATTGCTCTCTTAACAAACGCCACTGAGCAAGAAGTAGTGTGTAAATTGAAAAAGATATTAGAAGGGAGATGCTCAGAGACAGGATGGCAGCACTTAAGAAGAGAGCAGGAAGCTCCTATGTAACAAAAAAATGAAAAAGAGACCTAATCACCTCAGACATGAACCATGATTCAAATAGAGCAAAAAGAAATAAACTGTTAATACGAATCCTCCTGCTGTTTACTATTTGTTTAGAAGGTACAAAATCATAATCCTAACTCAGAAGAGCATAGACAGAAAACTTCCATGATCATTTTGATTCTGAGCCCCCAAATACACTCAGGTTGGAAATGGAGATCTTTCTGGTGCATGTTAAGACATTATACTAACAACAGCAAATCATGGAACTGAAAATCCACATGGAGATGATAATTTGGATTTGACACTGGGCTGTTGACAACATGCATTTAAGATGTGTGGGAGTCTTTCAGTGGTTGACTTGGTTTGCCACCGTTACCAAGTGTATAGTACACCAGTCCTAACACTGTTCAAGTCAGTACTGACAACAGTTTTCGCCAGCAAGCCTGACTGCTCAAGCACGGACAAAGACACCTTCAGTTTGGTTCTAGGTAACACAGCACTTTCGGATATCCCATTGGAATATCTGTGCCTTGTTCACAGGCAAATAATTTTCAACACTGCTTTGAAGAGCCCTTTAGTAAAAGGGAAAGTGATTGAGTACTACAAAATACTCAGAAAAAAAATGAAGAAGCGTAAAAATAACACTTGAATGGTATAAAACTTAAAATAAAGAACAAAATTAAGATTCCACAAATAGTAAGAAGTATTATACTTTTTTCTGAAGTTTTATGTAAGGAAGAAGGAGTTCAAGAGTGGTAACTTCCTATGGAGTAAGTAGGCTAACTGGAAAAAAACAACAAAAAAAAACCACCTCATGCTTTCTATCTTCATGTTACCAAGGAAGGATGGAGAACTGGTGCCAAAGACTGAAATATATTTTCCATGAGAGGAAAAGCGAGTGCTGTAATAACAAAAATTCATACAAGAGTAATAGAGAAATCAGCAATGTGGTACAGGCAATAGGTTTTGGGAAAATACTACTATAAGTAAGCTGTCACATAAAACTGCCTTCTCAGACCTTCAGTCTTGGGAAGTATTCACATAATTCATCAATTAAATAAATGTATGAGAAATAAATAAAGCCAAAAAGCACTCAGAGAAGGAAAGATAAATAAGGAAACTAAATGCATTTTTAAAATAAACTCTCTGCTGGCAAATCAGCAGCTGTAATAAAACCCTGGGGTGTTACAGACAGATAGAAGTTGGGAAGATTGGAGGTGATCAGCTTCACATTATGCAGAAATATTAAGAACATGGTTACTTGCAGCAAAACATTTTCACTGTTCAGTATGGAGAAGAAAAGCATCAAAAAGTTGATTCAACTTGCTAGGTTAACTCTCTCAAAGGCAGCGTACATAAAAAGAACTTGTCTGATTAGACTCGGAGATAATTAATTTAGAACTATAAAACTACGAGAGGCTTTATAACATGTAAGATTCTAGTCTAAACCAGAACAAATTATACAAATAATAGCTATATTTGATCGAATCCGGGTGCCCCCTTGCCCAACAAAAACTGAAGAAAGCATGGTGAAAGGTTACCAGAGTGTGATCCAAATCCGATGGCAGAAAGCTAATTACACCAAAATGCAACGGAAACCAAGACAATAGTCCAAGGAGGGCACAACGCAAAGTCATTCTTGGTCCTATACACAAAATCCCCAAAGGGGTAGGATTGTTTGACTAATTGATGTAAGACATGATGAATAGGGATAAATTAAAGTCAAGGACAGCATCAGCTGAAGAAATTCCATCTACATTCCTCTTACAAAGATTTGTAGCTTATAAGGGAAGTAAGCAAAGCGGTAAGAAAAATGAGTGTACACGCTGTTTTCTAGGATTTAAGCAAATATAGGAAAGAAAAATATTTTGAGGTTTAAACGGGAAATGAGGGGAGAATATTTTATTCTGATAACTTTTCATTTTCTAAATTACTCCGGTCTACATCCTATTTTGAACTACAATTTCTGCTACTGAAGTAACCTCCAAGCAACAAACACCTTAAGGAGAGTATTTTGAGACTTCAGTTGAGACTTTTGGTTTCTGATGGCATAAAAATTACATTTAAAAAGTGAAAAGTACACCTGAGGAGAAATAGGTCAAAGAAAAGAAAGAAAGAAAACCAGTATATGAAGAATAATCTTACCAAAAAATGGGAATTGGAAGGTAAATTACTAGGAGCACTATTACCAAGAGGATCTTTATTATGAATTAGCAAACATGAGCCATTAACAAAAACAACTGCTGGTTTCTGGTAATGACAACTCTGACTGTAGCACTGACCTCAGCCTGACTATAGGATACTGGGAGACTTCAGGGTCCAGATCACATA